TTAGCCATCGTCTTCCAGTCATACCCATCCCCGAAATGTGGAACACCTGGGCTTGATATAGGGACCTATTAGTTAGAAGTCCAACACCCCTAACCACTGAGCCACGGGCTCGTTGTCCTGCCGGTTTCGATCGGGAATGTACAATGGTAGAGAGACGCTCACCGATCGTTTTTACGGAACCCACTCGTTCCGTTGTGCCTTACGGGCTCTCTTTCGAGCCAAACCAGCAGCCTCACAGCGGCGCCTGATATAGGCGGAATTTTAGAGACTCAGTGGTTGAAGGCGTTTGACTTCTAACCAACAGGTCGCGGATCGAGCCCCAGGTGTTCCACACATCGGGGTTGGGTGTGACTGGCTGACGACGGCTAATAAGCCAGAAATGGCCATTCCAGCCTTCCTTGTTTTTTGTCGGTAATGACATTCTGTCTATATCATGCACCACTGTGCGGCTGCTGGTTGGGATCGATGGAGAGCCCGTAAGGCACAAGGGAACGAGTGAGTTCCGTAAAAACGATCGTTGAGCGCCCCTCTACCACAAGATAGGACTTTAAAGGACCCCCGCAGTTATTTGGAAGAATAGTTTATTTTCGCTTGCCAGACTGGACAAAGTGAGCGCAGAAGGTAAAATAATCTCTATGCCAAAAGACAATCCAGTCAGGAGAGCCGCACTGAGATATATTTGTTAGGGGGGAGATGGCGTGGAACAGTATTAGAGGCAGAGGAGTAATCAAGAAACACACATGCGCGCGCACAGTAACACTTGTCCAGTTCTTTCAAAGTCTAGTTTTTGATTAAATTGGAGGAAAATGACATAATGCCATCTGGGGAACTCGTTCAGTGACCTTTAAAAGTGCGGAGGAGCAAAGTTAGTCGACTTATCAGGGATGGATGGGATTCTTGCAGTGCGCCATGCGCCAGGTATCTTTAACTTCGCGAAGCACATGCTAATTAGATGTGTTACAATTATTAATTAAGAAATTATAGCGAAAGGCTGAGACACCATCCGCTCCGGATGCTGCCGATTCACGGACGGCTTGAAGATGTTTCTCCACTGTAGTTACAGGCAGTGGAAAGATGACACAAGGTGATGAAGAAATGTCGTTTGAGGGAAGACTGGAGTCATTGGGGGTAAAGGTAGAGTTTTCAGTTAATGAGTTCGAACTGGCGTCAATATGTGTCAGTATGCCTCGCTGGTCAGTAATATACCTAAAATTCTCTCAAATGTCAACGGAGGTAAGAGGGAAAAAAGGGCTGGAAGAACAAGGCAAAGCAAACTAACTAGCAGGTTGTTCAGTTTGGTAATTTCCCCTTTTAGTAGGACATAAACATCCTTTGGACTGTTACTCAGGTTTAGTTGATAGAGGAGTTCCTTTCGACGACTTAAACATTTGAGGTACTGGGAACTAATCCTGCCTTATGACAATTTTAGAGGGCAGAGAATACCAACAATTTCATTTCAAAATGTTGTGCGGTAGCTAGACCACGATTCGACTTTCGATAGCTTAAGAAAAGTGAGAATAATATCAACTATGGAAGTCTGGAGCAAACATTTTTATGGGACAATGTCGTGAACTGTACTTTTCCCTCTCGCGTTTGGTTAAAAGTGCGCACTTGGGAATGGAGTAACCTGTTGCAGGGCCCAGTAGCACAGTTATCTGAACCAGACAGTGGAGTTCTATATTTAACGAGAATGTATCAGAATCAGAATGGGATCCAGAGGGCGCCTGCGTGGGCGTTAGAGGAAACAAGGTCGTCAAAGTCTAGGAGTGTAGGGGGGGGGGCGTAGGCTTGCACGGTTAAAATAGTCACACAATAGAATAGGGTGCTCATGAGACGAAAAAACAAATTTCAGGAAAAAAAAACTGAAAAACCAGGCTAAACCACCATCGCTGATAGAAGGGAGGAGGAGTATAAATTCTAAAAAACATAATAAAACTGAAATTATTTAACAAGCGGAGCATTCGTATAGCAGCGATAGGGTGAGACACCATCCGCTCCGGTAGATGCCGATTCACGGCCTGCTTGAAAATGTATCTCCACGGTAGCTACAGGCAGTGGAAAGATGACACAAGGTGATAAAGAAATGTTGCTCGGGGGAAGATTGGAGTCATTGGGAGTAGAGACAGGGTTTTGAGTTAGAGAGTTCACATTGGCGTCAACATGTGTCAGTATGCTTCGCTGTCAGTGATACACCTAAAATTCCCTCAAATGTCAGCAGAGGTAAGAAGGAAAAAGGGTGGAAGGACAAGGAAAAAGTGACTAACGAACAGGTTTTTCCGTTTGGTAATTTCTCTTTTTAATAGAACGTTAAACTCTTTGGACTGCTACACAGGTTTAGTTTATAGAGGAGTTCCTTTCGACGCCTTAAACAGTTTAGGTACTGGGAATCAATCCTGCCAGTTCAACTTATGACAATTTTAGACGGCAGAGAATACCAAAAATTGCATTTTAAAATGTTGTGCGGTAGCTAGACCACGATTCGACTTTCGATAGTTTAAGAAAAGCGAGGATAATATCCAGCTATGGAAGTCTGCAGCAAACATTTGTTAGGGAAAAATGTCGTGACCTGTAATTTTCCCTCTCGGGTTTGGTTAACAGTGCGCACTTGCGAATGGAGTAGCTTGTTGGTGGACCCAGTAACACAGAGTTATCTGAACTAGACAGTGAAGTTCTATACTTAACTATAAAAAACGTAAGGCAGTTGATCAGGATGTGATCTAGAGGTCGCCAGCGTGGGCGTTGAAAGGAACAAGGCCATAAAAGTTTAAAAGTGTGGGGGGGGGGGCGTAGGCTTGCACGGTTAAAATGGTCACATAAGAGAATAAGGTGCTCATGAGAAGGAAAAACAAGTTTCAGAGAAAAAAGCCGAAAAATCCGACTAAACAACCTTCACAGGTAGAAGGGTGGGGGGAGGAGTATAAATGCTAACAAATCTAATGAAACTGAAATTATTTAACAAACGGGGCTTGCATCTAACAGCGGCAACATGGTCCAGTTCAACAGAGTATTCAATTTTACAGTTTCCACACCTGTTCTGTTTGACAAAAATAGCCCCTCCCCTATCGCTGCTGCATTGTGAGTATTTTTTGTCAGTTCGAAAGCAGCAGAAGGACGGAGGGGAAATTAGTTGCAAATCGATATCGCCATTTGACTCGACTTTTAATCAATACCCGTGCGGAGGCTACGATGCGCTGTTGGCCGAAAAAATTGCCCTCCGACGTTTGTCTGTCTGGACCACCCAATGTGTTCGAAAACTGTACCCAGGCCAACACACTGTGTACTGTGCGGTTGTGTTAACTAATTGGGCCTACTGCAGGCCTCTACAAGCTTGGGGATCTATGCTTTATTCGCTCCGCGGCCAGTCATTAGTCTAACCAGCATATAAACAAATTGACAGGCTATCATAATATACGAGACAGATGGATCGAGATACTGAATAGAAGAGTGCCTGGATAAACCCAGAAACATTATTATAAGGACACTGTATCATCGCAGGAGGCCACTGACATGCGTGCGTCGTAATTCGGTTTGCATACTCTTCCGTGTTGCAGCGTAAAAGCGGATTTGAAGTCTCCATGTGTATTGTGTAAACGGCCTGAAGCAAATAAGACTAAAGGCCAGGAAGACCACTTAATATACCATGGTAGAATGGAAACCATAAATATATCCGTCTGAATTGTGAAATGCGACGGTGAATGTGGCGCTTTCCTCAAAGTCGCAAGGGGATTTGGACCGACTAACCACAACTTCAACCGATGAAGATTGATGGATGATTTCAGACTTGAACCTGAACGGTGAACCATTCCTGATGAAGAGGGTATCTTTAATGCACAAGGTGATGGAGGTCCTATCCATGTTTGGGAACTTTCTGGAATTCAGGTATGGACAGTCTTATTTTTCTGGTAAGGACACCAATGGGTTCCACTGTGCGGAGTTATCGCGATCCTGTCTGCTCTCACTACTGGCAACCTTGTCCAAACCGAGTTTCCAAGATATCACTCCACTGGTTGATCGATGCCGCATCGTTCGCAATCTCAAAGGCCTCTGTAACATCAGCTAGCTAAACTTCCTGACCTCGCTCCAACAGAACACGTTTGGGAGTATCCGCAACGGATCATTTCTTGAATAACTGAACTACACATGCTTTCAAAATTCAGATTCATTCTTGTGAATGCATGGAATACGATAAAGGACATATCGGAGTGACAGCATTCAGAGGCGGTTCGAAGCTGTAATTCCGCAAATGCACGGATCTGCTCGACATTCCTTTCCTGGATTTTGTATAATTTATTCAGCATCAGGCTTAGATAAAGGGTAAGATGAGTCGAAAAAGCACGGCGTCAGTCGACTTCACTTGATTCGCTGAGGTCCATTTTTTGGCCAACAGTGAAGGCCACTCCCCATGCGTTTGAATATAATTTAGAATAATTGGGGCAACAGACCAGAACTGTTTTATTCTTCTAACTTGTCACAGTGAACTCTGGTCAAGGTTCAGGCAGCCAAGATAACTTTGGGGTTTAATGGCTGCCCAAAATATTGTCGACCCCTTGAATCCAGAATTGTCACTAAACGGCTGAATAAACTTTGTGCCTGTGTTGGAAAAGTCGCGTTTTAAAGGGGCATTTCTATTTCCCTCAGAGCATATGATATTCATTCTTGTGGCCCTGTCAGTTTCCGACCTGTTTAATCTGCCAGCCTACCAGGAATCCCTAGACAAGTTGAGATGTCCCACAGCAGCCAAGGCATGTTCGTCCGCGTGCTGGCCAAGCAGAACCTAAGCGCCGGCGACTGCGCAAAACGAAGCACGTGCTATTGATTGCAAACCCACCTACGCTATCTACTGGCTGGCGTAGGCAATCTCAACCAATCAGAGGAAGCGCTTGATGCTGATTGGCTAACTGGTCATATGATGTAAACGGCGACGTCAGCAAAGAAACACGAGGTTTAGGTCACTTTCGCATCTCAGAAGTTATCGGCGATCGTGGGACATATCAGCGGAGATGCACAGGGATTTCGATGTTAAGCGTTTTATCGGGAGGGGTTGCTACTCTCTGGTGTTTGAGGCCCGGCATACTGAGGGCTCAGACGCTGATAAATCCTATGCATTGAAACGGTTTTTCCTTCAAAACTCATCTGCCGTCAACTGTGCTCTCCGCGAAAGGCGACTCCTCGAAAGACTCGCTTTAGAGCCCGTCCAGTCACCGTTCCTGCCAACTTTATTCTACAGTTTTATGGTTAACGGCGGACCTGTATTCCTGCTTCGAGAGGGAACCGGATGCGACTTGTTTGATTTGCTGCACTCGAACGGTCTTCTTTCGGAGAGTCAGGGCCGATTCTACGTGTCCGAAATAATTAGCGGCCTTGAACACCTTCATTCTCTTGGCATCGTCCATTTAGATCTCAAACCGGAAAATGTGCTCATGTGTCCCACTGGTCATGTTTTTATTTCCGATTTCGATCGTTCCTACGATCTTAATCAGAGCACTGAACGGCCTACAGAGGACGATTTTACCGGAACTCCCCTTTTTATGGCTCCAGAAATAGCCAGAGGAGAGGTTATCACCACTAAGGCAGACGTCTGGAGTTTGGGAGTATTAATGGCGGAAATGGTCTGTGGTCCCATCCGTCCTGCCGCCAAAGACCTTGCGGAGGATCTTCGGTGGGCCAGAGAGGGACGCTATACTATCCGACGTCTTAAAAGTCTCACGAAGCCCTTGCAGGCTTTCTTCAGCGCCTGTCTCCAACGAAAGTATCAACAACGACCCGATTTGACCGGCGTTAGTCAGCTCCGGTTCTTCAAGCATGTTAACTGGGATCAGGTTCGCTCACACAGCCTTACTCCGCCCATCTCCACGTCACTTCTCAAGCATCGTCCTACCCGTGAAGCCATCTGTAAGCTTGATCCCACTGATCCACTCCTCTTGGCTTCTGCTTATGGGAGAGAGCTGCCCGTGACTCGGAAGAAGCTCTGCCAGGCGGTTCAAGGTCAGGGTGATTCCTCTCCGATGTTGGCCACTGAACCTCCGGATTTGGAGGAACTGGCTGCTGCAGGCATGACGGAGGACACCCTCGTGAAACTGTTTGCCGACTTCACTTTCGTCAACCCCTCTCTTCGCCGTCCAATTGAACCTGTCGATAGTTCCCCCGAGCTGTTTTCTCAGTCGGAAAGACCGCCGTCTCCGCCATTAGACAAAACTTCAGTCTGCTGCGATGACAGAATAACAATGGCAGAGGATCAGCTCTATTCAAAACCTCCTCTCCGCGAACGCAATCGAAAGTGCTCCGCTGGAGATTGACTCCCGGTTTTAGTCCGCGTCGTGACCTCTGAACAGGTTGGGACGCGTTCGAGTACAGAAAAAGGGCATCGCTATGGATGGAGTTTTCTTCTTCTTGTAAATCAAACTACCTGCGTGCCATTTACCGTAAGACGTAATTGTTGCGTTCTACCTTCCATAAGATCTATTCTATTTTGTACTTCTAACGAGTGTTTTGCTTTTGTATTACCTTTAATGCACACCTTTCGTTTAAATACATTTTGTCACCGTAGAGATAATTTACCATTTGTAAAACCCAAACGGGTTCTAATCCTTGGACATGGCGACAGTGCACCGCGGACGATTTTCGAGCCCCATGGCGGCTAGTCCGACAATCCAATTACTCTGTAGTGTAGTATCGCGTTCCTGAATCAGAGGGCTGGTAGACCAACCTTTAGTGTGGTCAGAGCTGCCTAGACGTTGATCGAGGTCGTGCTGGTCGGTCATTCCGCGTGCGTCGAAGCTCGAGCTTACATGACCGACCTTGATGACGGTAAGAAGTGCGGGTGAATACTGAGACGTGTGTGTGCGTATGTGCAGACAAATCTACTCCTAAAATGGACCACGCGGAAGATGCGCTGGATCAACACAGGGGTCTTGTTGGCAATGCGTACCCATAACAAATGCCAAAATTGTGGCCTTTGCGGCACGCCCAGACGCAGGTTCACGCCGTACCAATCGGGATTCGAACCGTCCCCCTTTTTTCGGTCAGATGTGGTTATGCGGCCTCACCTGAGGTAAACAAACCCCAGCCGCCTCTAATACGGGACCGGTGGTAATAGGGATTTCTGCAGGTGGGGCCGGGGAACGCACAGGCGACGATGTCAAGCAATTGTGTGCAAAAGAAAAGCTGTTGGGGATGCGCGGTTGTACTTTGAATGGTTGAGAAATACTTGCCCTAACCTTAACCTCCTAGCCCTAACACCTAAGCCCCAACCCTAACCCTTAACCGCAGCCGTAAACCCTAACCCAATAGTATTGTGTCAATCAGGTGGGGCTACATAACCAAATCTTGCCCTTTTTTCTTGCATACAATCCTGGCCAGTGTGTGTTGTGGACCAGAGGGTGTGGGTTTTCGTCGTGCCAGCTACCTGGGCCCTCTCCCGCTTCCGGCCTTCTTGACTCTGTCTTGACACCGGACCCAGGTGGAGGAGGAGGAGAGATTGCGGTAGATGCTGCGCAGGTTTACTATCACTATGAAAGAAATCACACGCAAGTCACCGTCCCTGCTCTCACCCCACTGTGGAGCATACGGTGTACTTCGTCGGTCACGAAGGTCGAATTGTCGTGCAGACAAAGCTGATATCCATTTTGTACCGACGTGCAGCAGTCATGCGCGTCACCAAAACTGTATTTACCGGTTCGCACGTTGGAGTAATCCACTGTACCCTTGCTGAAGTGTTGATTTCTCAATAGATTTCTCTAGCCTTCTAGCTGGAACTATCCTCTACCCGTCTTGACGCACATATTTCGACCGCAACAGCGCACTATCTGAAAGGGATTGTTTTATGCTAGTAGGTAAGGGTTGTCCGCTACCCGTTTCTTACCGTTGCGGACGTGGGACATCGTTGGTCTGAGTCATCCAGCGGGAAACAACCGAGGGTAGTTCGATTTTTTTTCTTGCAAAATCTACGAGTTTCCGGTGTGGCTGCATATTTCCGACCTCAGCCGACAGAGAGCGAACGCGGTACCCCAAGTGGATAAAGCGTGGCTTTGGGACGCTTACTGGTCCACTGGGCCCGCGTCCTAACCCCGGATCAGCCTAAACGACCAGAAGTAACCATTCCCGTGTATCTAATGCTTGTTGCTAATGCTCTTGGCCATGACCCAAACGTGACCCGGGCTGGGAGCTTCAAGGCAAAAGAAAAATGTCCCTTTCCGTCAAGCTACCAGGGTGGATCGGCGAACGACGTCCATGCGGCTAACATGAACTGCTGGTCAGCCGGGAGCCTATATCCCCCCACTTTTGGCGCAGTGCGTAATACAAGGCTTCAAGCTTCCCCAGCCTCACACGTGAACGAAGGCGGGCTACCCCACCTTGACCTCATGTGGAGGGGCGTTTGGCAAGGCTGTCGACTCCCCGTCGAGTTTAACGCCTCGGGAGGTCCACCGCCTACGCCGCTGAGGACATACGCTGTTCCCGGAGGCGCTTACGTCTGACGAGGGGAACTGCCAGTGCGGCATGTGGGCAGTCGTTGTCATTAAGAACTGCACACTTCCTGTCCTCAAACAGTTATGATGCGGGAGCATCTGTGGGATTATCTCGTGATCGAGGGCCTTTACGACATCAAGGGAATATCTGAGTAGATGGGCAGGGTCGGCATGCTAGTAGCCGTACACATGCTTCGGTTAGACATTCAAGCAACACGGTTGGCTCGAAATAACGAATGCCGAGCATGGATTTGATTTAAGAGGCCAATTCGCTATGGAGATCGGCCCGCTGTTAGTTTAATCTGCATAGGCTTTTACAGAAGATGTTCTATATCATGAGTTGTTAAACGAAGTTCAGAGATGTGCTTTCGATTCGGAAAGATTATTTGAGTAGGGTTGTGATGTTAGTTATTGTGCAGCATAATCCCGAGACATTGCGGCCATAGCAAGATGCCGGCTTTTGAACGAGCTTTTTCCCGGCCACCTACGAATAGTACACTGTGCAAAAAATTTCTGCTTAAGTAGTATGAGGTTTTCACATTCATTTCAGATGTCCTTGTAAACTTCAGTACACTTTATAGAAAATTTACACGAAAATATACCTTCTTGTACTCATTTGGCGGACAATTATGTCCTCTTCGGCCTTTATACTTCAGGCAAGGGTACCGTTCAGTTTAAAAAAACCCTTTCGAATTCAAATAATTCTGAACCCGACCCACCGTTACACTTGCATTGAATGTTTCCAATCTGCAAGCTGCATATTTGCCGCGTAAAGAGAATCACAAATTCCTATACGCTATTAAGGAGCCTTCATAAGGTGTTCGTGATATTTTGCAGTAGATGTGGACCGTGTTGTATACTTTATAAGCAGCATTAATAAATGGACAGACGCAATGCTTAGTGAATGGACATTTCACCGAAAGATGAAGAAGACGTAATTTGCTGCCAAATAAGTGCAAGAAAGAATGCATCTGTGCATATTTTCTATAGAATATATTTGAATTTACAAGGACATCAAAAATCAGTGAGAAAAGTGCATACTACTTAAGCAGACTTTTTTTACCAAGTGAGGTTTTGCAGGCTGTCGGAAAGAGGATCGTTCAAGAGCCGGCATCCTGCCGTAAATGAAATTCCCTGGGATTCTGCTGTGCAATGATTAACATTACAAACCTACTTAATTTGTCTCTTAGAAGCAAAAACACATTCCTGAATTCTGGTTAACACTTCGGTCAGATGTCGTTATGTAGCCCCGCCTGAAGTTAGCAAACACCAGCCACCTGTTATACGGGACCGGTGGTAATAGGGGTTTTTACAGGTGGGGCCGGGAACGCACAGGCGACGAGTTCAGGTAGTTGTATGCAAAAGAAACGCTATTGGGAATGCGCGGTAGAGAAATAGGTGCCCTAACCCTAACCCCAACCCCAACATTATTATGTCCATCAGGTGGGACTACATAACCACATCTTACCATCATGATGACACATCTGCTGTAGATCCGGACGTTCTTGGCAGTGATGCATACATAAGTGGACTGTGTTGACCCTATCGTCATCCACCGAAGATGAAACGGATCAGTATTGTTCCCGACCTCGGTACCGCAATTTACTGACCCCCTAAGGATTGTAAGAAGGCTTTAGGTTGACTGGAGATGGAGACCTGAAGTTTCCTACTCAAAAAGAAGACACTTTAAGCTTGAGTTGGCATGCCTATGCCGGGCAGGTGTTGGCTAAAGGTCCGTTAGTGTCTCGCTGTTTTTTTTCTTTATTGCTGCATCGCGCAGATGCAAGGGCCGAAAATAGGAAGGACTGAAGACGAAATTTCGAGTTCCAGGTGTATGCCTAAGGGAAGAAGAAGAGTTGAGCACCGGAACACTTTGTTTATTGTCCTGAGCTTTCAGACTCGTAAAGAAGTCCATCGTCAGAGGTAGTAGTAGCAGCAACAGAATAAGCGAAAGTTATAAGGCATGTAGGCCAGTCATCGACCGACGGCGCAAGACTGGAGGTGACTACGCAGGGCTCTGCACGCCGGCGCCAGATCGATAAGTCGATTGACCGAGTTCTCGTCCGAGGCCCAGGCTTCAATCAGTTCTCGGCCTGTTTTGTTTCCGGCGTGGGCGACTATTTTGGTGGCTTCTTCTTCACTTATAGGAAGAACTTTACGTGAGGTTCATCCATTAATTCACAACGAAGCCAAATAATTTATCAGCACCTATTCTCATAGAGGAGTGGACGCACACCGATGCAGCAAGTTCTGAGTGGGTGGCAGAGTTCACGAACGGGTAACCACGTGCCAGGACAAAGTCGGTCCTGGTAACGAAGAGGGTGGGGGACGACGACAGAGAATGGGATTAAGTTGATACATAACTGCTACGGACTTATTCCGTGTTTAATCAATTAGTCATTACCCTGACCACCATCTACACAAACATGCGCGCGCGTACACACATACGGCGCAGATGTTCTGCAAACGGGTTAAATCATGTGGGCTATATGCAATTCATCAAATCGAAGTTCATAAATGCCTCATCGTGTGGCATTCTCTGTCGCTGTTATGCCAGAATGCCAGCAAAAGGTATGAGTTAGTTTTCTGACTCACACACGCCCCCACTTTGTCACTCTGTCTTCACACAGTATACGTTTACTACGACAAAGCCAAGCTGGTCAGTCCATTGTACTTTGTTCCTAAATGGCACTGCATAACCAAGCAATGAGCGTCGTAGCCTTGGGCTGCTGCGTGGGAAAGGAGAGAGAGAGAGAGCGTTGGACGGACACTGGGCAGTCCATCCTGACGGCGGATCAGCGCACTCCTTACGATAACAAATCTGACGTGCT